TCTTCAATAATAGCAGCTGCCGCTTGGTCATCACTCTTTTTGCTGGACTCGGCTTCAGCTGCATCCTTCTTCGATGCATTACCCCCAAGCGGCATAAGCGCCACTACCGGCTCCTCCTCCTCCAACGCCTCATCCTCAGCAGCCGCCAGGATCTCTTGATTATATCTATCAGAACACTGGCGGTACGTTTTTTCCCAGGAGGAAAAGTCGGCATTAGGGAAGAGGCGGCCCCAGGTCATGCGCTGGATTTGAGCAGAGTCTTCCATCATCTCCCGGACCAGCTCCTTCTTTTCTTGTTCGGCCTTTTCCGATAGCTCCTGAGTAAGATTCTTCTCCTGGGTCACCAGGCGTTCCTTAACGTGCGCCAAGGATTTCTCCAAGGTGTCGTATGAGGACATTTTTTGGCGAAGAGGTCTCAGCTCGGCCTTGAGATTGTTGATGGTCGCCTCCAGCTCGCTATTTTTCTTCTGGGCCGCCTCTAACTGAGCCCGGATGGCAGAAGTAGCCTGCGCCTGATAATAAAGAATGTCAATTGTCAGAACCTCATTTTGGGCAATTTGAAACATTGTCTTATCACAGTCAGAGGCGGCCATAGCTTTTGCAGCCTTTACCTCTTTGTTCTTCCTGTCAAGCGGCTTGCGAAGGCCGTTCACTCGGAGCAGGGCCTAAGTAAAAGGGAACAGGCGTCAATTTTCAAACAAAAAACAGGCGTCCTGGAATTTAAATAACCAAAAATATGCTAAGTATACCTCAGCAAGGACCCCTGCAATCCCCTCTAGGTCAAGGGTGCCGACACCCTTGACCGCCTCCCTTTCAGCTGGAGGAACGGCCTTGATCATAGACTTGGCCACCTCGACCAAGTCAGGCTCCTGAGGGCCGGCTGCATCAACCATAAACAAACGAGTTAGACCTAGGAAAGAAGGGAGCAAGTCTAAATTCACAAAGACAGCTTCATACTTCTAGGCGGCCCAATTGGAGTTTTAGAAGGAGTGGCCGGCTGTTTCTCAGCCGCCGCATGTTTCCTGGCAGAACCAGGAGAGCTCGCAACAACCGTCCTCCGGGTCTTGGAGTCCGGCTGTTGGGAAGAAGAAGCTCTTGGAGCGCCCGTCTCAAAAAAAAAAAAAAAAAACAAAAACAAAACAACACTCGGTCAGTATATGCATAAACCCAAAAAGAGAGTGAAAGGTTCGAAGCTCACCAAGGGCGCCCCCTTGTTGGGGGAGTCGGTTGAGGATTGTTGCATGATGGAGGCCCGCAACATGGCCGCCGCAGTCTTGGAGGCGGTAATTTTGCTCATGGCGTCCGCTGCAAAAACAAATAGTAAAGTTAATAAAAAGTCATAACAATAATGCATGGAAAAACAGAGTATTCGACAGGCCGGCTACCTCTTGAGCACGACTGCTGAGGCCACAGGCGGCCAAAAAGTACTCGTCGTAGAGCCATTTGAAGCTCGGGACGCAGTGCAGGGGTACTTGCTCTCGTACCCCTGAAGCAGAGTCGACCCTCGACTCTACTTTAAAGAGTCCTTTATCCAGGATCTCTTTCTTAGCTTTGGGGGAACAGGCGACATGCTGCGGCCGCCTGCAAGAAGAGGCGGATTCCTGTTCCACCTGTTGAAGCGCTTGTTCAGCTCTGTGTCTGAACTCTCAATGATAAGGAAGGTGTTTCGCCAGTCCTTCCACTTGTTTTCTTTACCTCTTGTCATGAGGTAGCCTTTGTGGCTTGTCAATTGATACCAGCCGGTACCGTCTGCCTTAGGGGTCCGGCTGAGGTAGTTCATGTGGGCGAAAGCCTCGAAGTTTGGCTCCACCCCATGCAGTTCGCACCCGGCCACATAGCCGAGTACGTTGACCCAGGAGTTCGGGGCTAACTGCCATAACCCCAACTCATACCCATCCAAGATCCGCTGAACAGCCGGATGTAGTGGGAAGCGCAGCCCAGCCTTGATGGCCGCCTCGTAGCAGCCAAAGCAGGCGCCATCATAGCTAGTACCAGCCGGCCAGACGACTGTGTCTTCTGGATCCGGCACGAACACTAAAAAGCCGGGTCCCATTGTGTGGTTCGCAATAAAGTTCCCCACTTTCTCTTGCATGGCCGTGATCCGGCCCCGTGGGACAGTGCAGTAGTAGGGGGTATTTTTCTCTCGGTAAGAGGCGGATGGTTCCGCCCAATTGTCCCCCTTCTCAACTGCGTGAGAAAGCCTCGCCTCTTGTAGGCGACTGTTTTTCTCTTCTGTGTCCAGAGAAGCATGACCAGAAGAGCTAGACTCGGATTCGTCCTCTGACGAGTCCGAAGAGGACGACTCCTCCCCTCTCCCAGAGGGGCCCGCCTCCTCTCCTTTAAAAGGAGCAGGAGAGAATGTAGACTTGTCAACTGTAAAATTGGAAGGGGTCACTTTGACTCCTCCCTCAGAACTGTCGGCTTTCAAGCCACTTTGGTTCACTTCCACATCTGGCGCCTGGTCAGATGTTTCACTAATCGGCACCCTGTGGGAGGAGCCGTTTGAGTTCGAAGTCCTAGCAGTTCTTTTTGTTCTGGCCATCATGTTCTGCATAGACACAAAGACAGTCGGACTTTGTATAAAGGGCAAAGATGGGTCCGGAAAAGGGCAGGCGGCACTCCTAGTCCTAGATTCAGCCGTCCCCGGTGACCGGCTGATCACTAACCTAGGTCGTGTCGTGTGCTTCCGTGGTGCCATTTCAAAAAAGAATAAAATAAAGAGAAAATTAAGAGTAAGAGAACCGACGGTTACCTGAACGAGTGACGTTGAAGGAGTTCTGAAAATCCTGTGCAGTCGGCTTGTCAGAGCAGGCGGTAGGCAGAAAGGGTCCAAAATGTCAGAGCAAGTTCAGGGGTCCGAATGTTCTCTCAAAAAGTTCTCAAGTGTGAAAATGACTAAAGTTAACACTCCCTTATATAGGCAAAGTGAGAAGGCGAAGGGTCACTTCCAAAATTCAAAATTTGGGCGGGAGAATCTTTCGGCCTTTCGCCGAGTGACACCTGTAGCAGGCCGTCGCCTGTTACAGTGCGACACCTGTCACAGGTAACACGTGACCAGTCACGTGCCACCTGTGAGGGGCAAATGATTAGGGGATTTTGCTCCCACCAATTGGAATGCGCCACGTGGGCCAATCAAGTCCTGCCAAGTGTCCCCCAGTTGGAACTGTCAGGGCTTGCCACGTGGCACACGCCTATTCGTCCACCCTGGACCTATTATGTCAGGACACGTGGCATACTCCATGCCTAATGGAGAAACCGGCCACCTAGGCCCAACTTCCGAGGGAAGCCCAATCAGCCCAAGGTTAACCTAAACCTAGGATTGGCACGTTTCCCAAGGTTATAAATACCTCCCTTAATCCTCATTAAGGGGGATTACGCACATTAAACACTCTCACCTAGAGAGACCCAATCACTTTTATTTCCGCATTAATTACTGCTTAATCAAGTACTAACTTGACCGTCGGAGGCGGATCTCCAATCATCCGGAGCATCCGTTTGTTTTGCAGGTACAGGCGTCCGATTCCAGTCTCGGAATTGTAACTCTCCCGCAGGACATCAGAAAACCCCGAAACATTAGTCTTCGCGGTTTTTTTAAACACTTGAAAGTAAAAGGGAAGGGTAGTATAGGGTAAGGGCCTCACGAGTCACGTCTAATACTTATGGTCTGTTCTCATACGTTTATTTTCAATTTAGCTTACCTCAACTTCTAATTTCCTTCTCTTATAAAATATTCAGTTGGGTTCAGTTCAACTTAGCTCAGTTCATTTCAGTTTAGTCCAGTTCAGCTCAGCTGAGTTCAGTCTATGAGAACAGACCCTTAGAAGAGGTTTTGACATTTTGATTCAAACTTCTAATTAAGGTCATATCAAAACAACTGAAATTTTATGCGTACACATAGATGTAAATTGCATCAAAGGTTACCTTAATTGTGCAATAATCATTATTTCGAAAATAAATAAAAAATAACCTCTGAGCAATAATCTTCAAATACCCTTTGATCTAAGATACACTTCTTTGATTTATATTATTTGTAACGATTATACACTTTCTACTCACACTTTACATCAAATCTTGACAAATAATATAAAACGGATTTACTAATGACATACTTTGCTAAACAACGCTTTGATGATGTATATAATGGTTATGAACTTACAATATTGTAAAGGGAAAAAAATAGAACAAGTCTAGTTTTACATTTACATTTACATGTCCTCAAATTTTTATCTCTTCTTTCTTATTTTGGCTCAATCCATCTTAATAACTTAATTTGATCCATCTTAATCATTTACAACTTACAAGGTGACCAATGTACTTAACTACTTACTCATCCAAAATCCAAGCATGTGATTTACGAGTACCACCAATGCCACATGCATCATTGTCATATTATCTATACATCTAAAGTTTAGCAAAAGTGTTGGGTGGTGATTTTAAGAGGCCATGTATTATGATAAATAATAGAGGGTAATACAATGAAATACTCATAAGTTATACTCTGTCTAATTATTTAGAGGTAAACAGATAGTATTAACATTTTAAAGCATATGGTTCATCCTACAAATCTATCTCATGGAATTGAATAAACTCCTTTATTTCTTTTTACACATAGTGATTCTTTTATCTCTAACTACCAAACCTTGCCTAAAAAGAAGTACTTACTCAAACAATTTGAGTCAAGTAAAAAAAAACAAAAGTATGACAAAGTACCCTCTAAAGGCTTAAAATCAGTTAAATACAGATAAAAATTACTTAGGTTTGAATTTCACTCCAAATCATTCACAATAGTTTGTTGTAAAATATAAACAGATTATGTCTAATTGTTACAAATTATATAAAAAAAGACAGAGTAAAGGCTATGTCTGATTTACTAAACTGAATTAAACTAAATTAAATAGAGTTTAAATGAATATTTTATGAGAAAAGAAATTAACAACTGAACTGATTGGAAGTTGAATTGAAATTAAGCTAAAGAGAGAACAAACCCTAAATAAATCTGTTTTTCCAATAATATCTCATCTCCTGTTCTTTAAATATTACAACGTTAATTCTATTTTACGAAGCGATTAAGACTAGATGCTTAATTATTCCCTAATCAATAACACCAACGCGCCATGGAATGCAGTTGTTAAACACTCCACATTGGCTCGTCAAACAGTCTCACTCCTCTCTCTCTCCACCACTTGACATCGTCCCCTTCTTTCCTCCCTCTTGAATGCTCTTTCATTTTCCTACTCATTCTTTCACTCTCTTTCTCTCTCCTCTCAATCACCCTTCATTCATTCCTTCATTAATATACATCCATTATCTCTACTCAACCACCGAAAATGGCGGTTGACGACGACATGTGCAGCGACGGAATGCAATGCACTGACCACCCTTACCGCACCACCTCCCCTGGCGGTGGGATCTGCGCGTTTTGCCTCCAAGACAAACTCGGTAAACTCGTCTCCACTTCCTCCTCCTCCTTCCTCATTAACTCCTCCTCTTCTTCCTCCCCTTCTTTCAGATCTGACCTCCCTTCCTCCGCCACCTCCGCCGCAACCGCAACCACCTCTCTCTCCATCTCCATCCCCACCGCTTCAAACAGTCGTAATTACAACCATCATTATAATCAACATCGTCATAATAATAATTTTCAAAAGGATCATTCTACTAGTAGGCCCCGCATACCTTTTCTACTCACTCAAAAGAAAAAGAAGAAAGATGATGTCCAGTCTTCTTCTTACTCACCTAGTAATTCTGTGCTCAAGAGAAGTAAATCATCTGCTACCCCTCGATCCACTCGCTTTCTAGAAGATTTCAGCCCTAGACGAAGGGGTTTTTGGTCTTTTCTACACATCTCTAACACCCACCACAAAAAACCCACTACAATAGTCACTCCTTCGTCTACAACCACCGTACCCCCGGAAAATACGACGGCGGTGATGGCGGTGACGGCGGAAGTGACGTCATCGGCGGCGGTGAAGCCGGATATGACGTCATCGGAGGCGGCGGCGGTGGTGGTGGATGAGACGGATGAGAGTCCGAACAGTAGCGGAGGAGCGAGTAATACGGCGTCGTTTGGGAGGAAGGTGTCTAGATCTAGATCTGTAGGATGTGGTAGTAGGAGTTTTTCAGGGGATTTTTTCGAGAGGATTTCGACTGGGTTTGGCGATTGCACGCTCCGGCGCGTGGAGTCGCATCGAGAAGGGAGTAAACACCGACACTCAACCTCACGCGCCGCCGGGGATACTGTCCGGGAGAAAGTCCGGTGCGGTGGTTTATTCGGCGGACTTATTATTACTTCCTCTTCATCGTCAACAACTTCATCGTCATCGTCGTATTGGGGGGCTGGAGATGGACGGCCCAATGGGCCGACAGTGACACCAGCTGGGCCGCTTGTTCATGGGCGGAGTCGGAGTTGGGGGTGGGCTTTTGCTAGCCCAATGAGGGCGTTTGCGAAACCGACTACGACTCGGTATGATCGTAGTAGGGAGCCTGGTGGTGGTGGTGGTGATGGGAGTGTTAAGAACAGTAATGGAACACCTAATTTGGCTGCCATTCCATCTTTATTATCAATAAGAGGTTAACATTTATTTAACAAATTTAATTTGGTAGTTTTATTTTGTATTGTTTCATTTACAAATGTGTATTATTATTATTATTATTATTATGTCTATTATGGTAATTTCTAATGATATTTTGTTACTAGTAAAATGTTACACTCTTGAATTTTGGGTATAAATTGTATGTTATGGGAAAATTTTTAGATTCATTTTTTGCTATTGGGTAGATTTCATATGATCATATCCTATAGTTTTATGTATGATGTAAGATGATGATGATGATGTGCAAATGATATTTAGATCTTGAGTTATATGACATTGGATTGAAATTAGTATGTTTGTACTTTGGTAGATATAAAATTTATGATTACATTGAATAGTTGTACACTATTTTTTTTTTTTTTTTTTTTTTTTTTTTTTTTTTTTTGTGTTTTTGCATTAATTTTGTTATGTAGTGTGTACTTTGTGTTTTATTAGGCGTTGAGTTTTCCATGAAGAACCCATACTTGTCTAAAGAGCGAAAATGTTAGTCAAAGATGCAGTTTTCGAACCACATGGTCATCCGATTATTTAATCATTCCTTTCGATCTTCCACTTTGCTATCAAATCTTCTTGATTCCTCCTTGTTTGGAAAAAACTCTAAAAAAACTAGTCCAACGGTTCGTTCTTCTGCAAGATTGAATGTCTGATTGTCTGATTTGACCAAATAACTACACGAGGGTATAGCTCGCACAACAGAGAAATCAGTTTTGGAGCGATGGCAACACAGGTTTAGTACTCTATCCTTTCACGCAATTCTGCTAAAGACACTTGGATTGTAATTGGGATGTTAGTACTTGGAATTGGAAATGCTATGTACTTGTGATTTTGTTGATTGAACGTTTTTGGCTTGTATGTGCTCTTACAATCTGTTCTATGTTATGTAGTCCTTTCTGTAAGAACACAAATGTATATTTTATGGCAGTATGGTGCTACGTCGTATGTTTAATGAACGGGGCAATGGTACACAAAGTTCCTTATTTACTTTTTTGCTTCGACGTCTAGCATGTTAATGGCCATCCTGTTGCTCCCAGCTCCCAAAACTCCCAACCTATTTCGCATACTGGATTCTCTCTTGATCAATGTTTAGTCTTCCTGAATCATGGAACTCGTCCAATGATCGATCTTTGTACTTCGTATGTAATCAGCTTTGGCTGACTAATGTTAAATTCTTCTTGCCTACACAATGTTCTAATCATTCAATACATGTTCGATAGTACCATCAAATCTACTAAGATCTGAGGTAAAACTTTTAAACGATAACTTGGGAAAAGAGCAGACTTCCTAGATACATTCTTAACTGAAGCAAGGCTAATATAGTTCATTTCTTTGCCACAACATCGACAAGCTTGGCAACGATCATGCATCTGAAACATGAACCGCACCTCCAGGAACTTCTGCTTCCGGTGTTTTTACCCCTATAGGATTGGCCTTTGGCGTCGCCTGCATTTCCGAATGCATGACCGAGTCTAACATGTCCTGATATGTCCCTGTATTTGCCTGATGAGCATGCATTCATCTTGCCAATGCTATGCCCTATGCATTTAATCAAAATGCTCAGAAAACAGCTTAACAGACAGCTACAACATTTTTGATAGATCAACTAGTACAGTAAAATTTTGTATGGTGAGTTTTGCTTTTTAAATTTTTAGCATCAGAAAGTATTATTGTAGATTTGGAAGGATATGTTTAATATGCCCAAGCAAATGAAGATGATTAGATGATAGAGTCTAGGAAACTGACAAAAAGTTTGCAGACTACTCCGTAAAAGCAAGCAATAAAGAAATTATTTGGGGACCCTTTATTAACAACAATTACTGAAGTTTTCCATGTGAGTTACAGAGTATGTGACCCTCAAATACAGTTTCATTATACTCACTGTATTTTTAACGGTTGTGTAATTTGACATAAATTACAAGTGCATCAGATACTAATCTTTTAGTATAGAAATATAGAAATATACTTCACTCATTCTTCCTTTTTATATTTTATTATACTGCCCTATAGAGAAAAGTCAATCTATCAAGGATTAGGCAAAAGAAATCATACATAAGTTGATTTGCTAGTGAAAACAATCTCAAATGGTCCAAAAAGGAATATAGGTTTTTTTTTTAAAAAAAAGGATAGGAGTAGACATGTAAATAAAAGTTGGCATTTTTGAAGAAAAGTACGTGCAAATATGCAAAAGTATTAGGGCCTATCTGATTTACTAAGCTGAACTGAACTAAATTGATTGAAGCTGAATTGAGCTGAGCTGAACTAAAATGAACTTAACTGAATAGAGTTGAAATAAATATTCTATGAGAGAAGAAAATTAGAAGCTAAACTAAACTGAACAGATTGAAGCTGAATTGAACTGAACTGAATGGAGCTGAACTGAACTAAATCGAAATTAAGCTGTTAGTTTATACTCAAGTGCTACACTTAAACACTTAATTTTGTCAAATCGCATTGTACAAAGTTGGGCTTTTAGCCAAATCACGAGATAATGTTACCTCTTATTGTAAATTTCTGCCAACTGAAATGCCAAATGTAGCGCCTCATACAACACCTGTTTCGGGGTTTTTTGATGTCCTGCGGGAGAGTTACAATTCCGGGACTGGTATCCTTGCGCCTGTACCTGCAAAACAACGGAGACTCCTTGTGGTGGGAGCTCCGCCTCCAACGGTCAAGTTAGTACTTGATTAAGGAGTAATTAATGCGGAAATTAAAGGTGATTGGGTCTCTCTAGGTGAGAGTGTTTATGGTGTGTAATCTGCGTCCTGTTTTGCGTCGTCCCCCTTAATGAGGATTAAGGGAGGTATTTATAACCTCGGGAAACGTGCCAATCTAGGTTTAGGTTAACCTTGGGCTGATTGGGCTTCCCTCGGAAGTTGGGCCTAGATGACCGGTTATCCCAGGTGGTATGGGAAGGACACGTGTCATGTCGTAATTGGTCCATAGTGGACGGATCATTGCTTGACACGTGGCAGGCTCCTATTGGCCCATGTGACGGACACATGGCGGAACCTGATTGGTCCACTTGTCAGATGGTGATTGGTGGGAAAAATCCCCTAATCAACACCTATGTTGTTTTTTTAGACCAAAAAAAAAAAAATTTACATAGTAAAAAATTACTAACAGTTTTTAGGTCACTGGTGTTATATTTTACATATATTAACATAAGTTTTCATCGGTAGCCAAATTGAGATTTTTTTTTTTTTTGTCAAAATATACCAAAAGTTCAAAACCCGAATCAATTGGACGCTTTTTATTGTTATTGAATATAAATCACAATTCACAAATCATACGTGATTCTATATACAATCGTTTATGAGAATCTTTAAGCAAAAGCACAACAATATCTTTGATCAGATAGACACTATCAAGTTGGCAACATATGTAATCCCTCCACCTCCGTCCTCAAGGAGGCCATGATTTTTCACTTACACATTATATAATTAAGCATGCACTTTGGTCTTGGATTAGTCTTATGATATACTAGAATTGCAACTTAGATGGCATATAAGAAACATATTGATATCAGAGTTACATTCTAATCAACAAGTTGTTACTTGTTAGTACTGACAGGAATCGATTGCTAGGGAATCAAGTGAGAGTTAGCTAGTTTGATCTTTGTACTTTTCTAAACTACTAACTAGATACATTAGACAAACATATAATCATTACTATCCCAAAACATTTAAATGTTTGTAAAGTTCACATCCATAAATCTTTCCAATGATCTTCTCATTATAGAAAATCTTTGAATGTATATCCAACAAATCCGACCAACAGGAAATTTCATATAATAAATCCTCAGTACTAGTTGAGTTTCTTGAAAGGCATTGCCTCCACGACGGCTTCTTATTGCTATCTTTATCCAAAATCCATACACAAAATAAACCTATTGGATGTCCAGTAGATGAGGGGTTTTACGAATATTTGGATTTAGCCTAAATTTAAGTAGGGATTTCACCGGTAGCCTTGGCAATATTTCGTCCCTTAGTATATCTATAGGTATTTCGTGCTCGAATTCTTGCCTGTTCTTAACGCGCTCCCTACAAGTCTCTTTTGGAATTTCAATGAGCGCAATGTCTTTAAAAGAATCAAGTTGATCATCGCCTTTTTCCTTGTCTAAGTGCTTTCGAAACATCCTTTCATTGATTTGAAAATCCTGTCGTCAGCCAGCATCTTCTCGTAATGCTCTTCATCACGGACAGCGCCCAGCTCGGGGTTTCGTCGTATCGTGTTTAGCATCTCATTCAACACCTTTTTGCTCTGTATTCTCTACAAATTAGACAAGGAATTAAGTGGTTAGTGTTTGTAAATTGGAATTAAATTAAATTGTTGTATTTATAATACATTGAATACACATTACTATAACTAGTCCTGTCAAAAACCGAACCGAACCGGGGAAACCGAACCGATTCAAACCGATCCGAATGAGAACCGAACCGTTTAGAAACCGCTTTTTTTAAACCGAAAACCGACCCGAACCGCATTTTAGTGAACCCGAAACCGAACCGATTCGAGTAACGTTAAACCGTTTAAGAACCGAACCAAAATCTAAACCGAACTGAAAGGAAACCGAACCGAAAATGAACCGAACCGTTTCTAACCCGAAACCGTTTGAACTGCCATAAAAACCGTTATAAACCGAACCGTTTATAAACCGAACCGTTTATAAACCGAACTGATTATAAACCGAACTGTTTATAAACCGAACCGTTTATAAACCGAACTGATTATTAACCGAACCGTTTATAAACCGAACCGCTTATAAACCAAAATGTTTATGAACCGAATCGCTTATAAATCAAACCATTTACAAACCACTTACTACTAGGAGTGGTTATTGGGCGGGTCAATGCGGGTCATTAGCGGGGCGAGTACGTTGCGGGTAAAGGTCAAGTCAGGGTCAAGATAAAAGTGAAACGGGCTATTAACTTCTACTTTCTTTTATCAGTTCCTGTGTTGCCAGTGAGAATGCTCTTAATATTTGTCAAGCAAATCGTTACTACTTTTTTTTAGTTTGATGACTCTCATTACAGTAGAATTATATAACTACAACAAAAATAATAACCAATAATTCAAGACAAATAAGGAACAAAATATCAATAATGTAATGTGATTAAAACTATTAATATTTGTTCTATGAGATTAAAACATTTTAGCAAAAGCCTGAACCACAATTCCATATCTTAACTAGATGCAAAACTTTCATCTATCACTTCTTTACCAATGTCAAGGACGTCTTCTTCAATATCACAATCATAACCACGTAACCAATTTTGTGTTGTAACCAACGCCTCAACATTCTTAGGCAAAAGCGCACTCCTATACTTGTTTAAAATACGACCACCCATGCTAAAAGAAGACTCAGAGGCTACCGATGTAATAGGAATGGCCAAAACATCCCTAGCCATAACAGCTAATATGGGGTACACACTAATTTGAGATTCCCAATACTTGAGAACATCATATTTCTGCCCTTCATAAATTGGTTGCCGAGGAGTACACAAATAAGAATCAATCTCCATCGATGGCCGATTTGATGGGCCATCCTCATCATCATCATCATCAACATACTAGAAAAGTTCAAACAAAATGCTTTATTAAATAATAAAAATTAAAACATACAATTATTAATTTTGTAAACCACAATAAACAGAAATTGATTACCTTGAATATGTCATCATCCAAGTGACTATTTGATTTATCGATAACAGCTGGGATGGAGGGTGGAACAATTGTACTTGATGTAACACCGAAAGACATAGAATAATAAAAGTTGTACAACTCCAAAAGAGCATCTTTAATTACCTTCGCCTTTTCAACACATGCCTCATCAACATAAAGCACTTTTAACATCTTCGTCACTCGAACAAGCTTATAGCGTGGATCAAGAACAATAGCAATTGAAAGGATCAAACTATATTCATCCCAATATCCCTCAAACTTTTCAAGCATAACTTTTGCCATGGGTGCAAGTTTAGGGTC